CCTCAGCCTGGAGGATGTTGTGGGACAGCTGGCAGACGCAAACACGTATGGCAAATTAGGTAAGAGCATTGCATCAATGTTGACTTTCTTGCACTGGAGGCTGTGGTTACACGTGAGAATGTCCTTTTCTGAGGAGACACGCCTGAAGCGTGAAGGGACCCAGGGCCATCATGTCTGCATGGCCAGCGAGAGAGAAGACTCCTGAGAGAGCAAATGTGTAAAATGGTGACAACAGCTGAATCGGAGGGAAGGGCACACAGGAATTCCTTGTACTATTTTTGCAACCTTTTGGAAAGTTTGAAATTATCTTAAAATATAGAACTAAAAAAAAAACTTAGGCCCAGGTCAGATTTGTACTCCAGGGCCCACTCTTACATTGCTTAACTCAACATAGGCTTTAAAAAATTGGAATTTTTCACCAAACTCATAAACATCAGGAGATGGTACATGCAAATCTGGGTTTCCAGCTCCCCAGCAAAGGGACCACTGCGGCCTTCCTGGGGGTGGAGGCGCTTCTGCAGGCAGCCGAGGGGAACACCGTGCTCCTGCTTTGGTGCCCATGCTCTCCCCGCCTGGCCCCATGGAGTTGGGGACCTGTGATTCCTGGACATTTCCACTGTCCGGTTTGAAGATACTTCACACGGGCCTGTGTCTGCCTGACTCCCAGGTGGACGAGCTCCAAGCATTTGGGATTTTCTTCGTGCCTGAGCACTGGGGACATGGGAGTCTGTCTGAAGGCCCATCTGCCCCCATTTGTGAGATGGGGAGACTGAGGTCCGGTGGAGGCTGGTGGAGAGCTGGCCCCTGGATGTTCTGCCTCCAAACTCTGGTCTTATTCCACACCACACAGCACAGCATCTCACACCAATGCCATTTACAAAGGACAGTCACATCATCCATGCATGTGGTCACCACAACAGCCCTGTGGGGTAGGCGGTGGGGAAGGACCCCCCTACAGCTTCCCCAATGCATAGACACAGATGTGGAGGCTCAGAGGTGAAGTGACCTGCCCAGGGTCACAGGCCAGGCATGGCAGGGCCAACTAACCCAGAACCAGAGTGTTCTTTACCTTCCTCTAGGCTGAACCAATGTGTTAGATGCCAGAAGGGGGTTTCTGAACAATGAGGACCCTGCAGCCTCCCCCAGCCTGATGCCTCTGTGTTGCCTCCCTGATGGTCACCCAACTGGCAGGCCCAGCAAAGCCTGCTGACAGAGAAAAGGATTCAAGGAGTCTGGTTATGTGTAAAAATGAGCATCCAAATGGCAGTTATCCAGAGTTCAGAGCAGTAGGGAAGACAGCAATCAAGGAAACCCCCCTGGAGGAGGTGGGCTCATACAGGCTGAAGATGGGGAGGAGCTGGATGGTGGAGAGGAATGGGGCACCCCAGGGAGTGGGGAATGGGGAACGGGGAGACATTCAGTGTGAAGGAAGGTAGAGAAATGGACATTCTGACACAACCTCATGAGCTGGGGCCATGCTCCTGGTTTACAAGTGAGGAAATGGAGGCTCAAAAAGGGTAAGAAGCTTGTCCAGGGTCTCCCAGCCAATGAAGGGCAGTTGGGATTTGAACCTAGCTTATTTCACTCCAAGCCCAGACTCCACCCAAGGAACAGGGAAGGGAACTGACCTGTGTGGACATTCCTCTGCCAGCACTGTGCTAGGGAGGGCTTCACCTACCTCATATACCAGGACATCACTATGTTGGCAAAGAGAAGCACCACCATCCATCCAAGACCACACAGCACACTCATTCTAAATCCTGGGTCTGGCTCAGCCTGGCCCAACTCTGCTCCTTCTACAGCATGCCAAAGGCAGCCTCTCTCCTCACTCTGGCAGAGAGTGCCTGAGCCCCTGCAGTGTGCAGGGCCCAGTGATGGAGCTGGGCATGACCTCCTTGGTAGCCTCAGGCTCTGGGTTCCCAGCTGTTCAGACCTGTCTGGGTGAGAGGGTCCATGCAGATGTGCATCGTGGTGGTGTCTGTCCATCTGCATGTGGCCAAGGATGGAAAGGGTGCGTATAAGTGAGACCCATCAGATCTGTTTGGGTGGCAGGACGATGCTCTTTATTTTATTTGGAATGTTTGCATGGGGCAAAACTCAATCAACATTATGAGGCTGTGCCCACATGAGCCAAGCACAGTGTGGGCTGAAATGTGAGTCCCAGGTGGTATGGGGTTGAGTGCCCGAGGACAGTGGTGGTCAGTGAAGGCTTCGTGAAGGAGGTGGGGCATGAGCAGATGGGGAGGAGTTAAATGTGCAACAAGGAAGGGAGAGGGCCTTCTAGTTGGCATGAAGGAGGGAACAAGAAGGTGGATCTGTAGCAGAGGTACAGGGTGAGGATAGGTGAGGTGAATCTGTGACTCTCACAGCTAGGAGGTCATGAAATGCTGTGCCCATTCAGTGCTTGGGCCCACTCTACAACACCCCAACAGACAGCCTGTTCAGATCCTGCTCACATACAATCAGTGAAGGGGAACTCACTACCTTTCAGTGAGCCTCTTTTGTCCTAGAATGGTTCTATTACAGAATTCTTCTCCTTCCAGTTAGGCTACTTTCTATGGGGCCAATTACGCCCTTTCTCTCTCTTCCCCATGAGCCTGGGCTAAGCTACTTCCCACTCCCAGCCCCACACAACTGTTTCTGAATGTCACCACTGCAGCCCATGGTCAGGTGTCATTTTCTTTGGTCTGATTTGCCCTGCGCTCTGGTGATCCCGACTCTTGTTTTCTTTTTGTCACCTTCCCTGTGCTCATGGTTTCTGTGAACTTAAAGGGCACACTTTCCATGTTGCAGTAGGAGAGAGCTCCAGGGAAGGCCACTAGTGACCTTCCACCAGCCTATCAGCAATCCGAACATCAGTACAAACCAACCAAAATCTGGCCTTTGGCATCTCTATCTCGCCCACAAGGACATCTTGGGAGACCTTTGCTCCTGCCTCCTGACATCTAGGGGCCCAGGGTCTGCCTGTTTACCTGGGCTTCCAGACAGATATATAGGTCAAGACCAAAGTTGGTTCAGCCTGGGCTGCCCAGCTGACTTCCCATCCACATCTGCCCTTCCCTGTCTTTCCAGAGTGTCTCTACACCTGTGCTCACCTCCTGGGCTGGCTTGTGGTCAGGGACTCTGAACAGTTTTTCTCCCCAGCCTCCTGCCAGGCAACTACCCCTCCCTTCCCTTTCCCAAACTGTCTGGAACCGTGATCATCTACCCATGTAGGTCCAGTGCTTCCTCTTGACTTTGACTGACCTAAATGGCCCACCTAAATGGCAGGCTCCTTCCCCCAAGGATGACTGCCCATCTCTCAACCACTTCAGCCTAGAAGTTGGAACCAGGGCCACAGGGCTATGACCATTTACCAAGTTCTCATGTGGCTCTAAGTTCCAAGAGGATAACTGAGGCTTTCCAGGATTTCTTAGTCAGATACCAGGGCCTTTGCACTTACTGTCCCTCCACCTGGAATGTGCTTTCTTCTCACTGTTCTGGTTTCAGCTCAAATGCAAACTTCTCAGACAGGCCTTCCCTGACTAACAAAGATTCCTGTCCCCTTCTTCAGGGTCTCTATCTCATTACAATTGTACAATGTCTTCATTTGATTTATCACTATTTGAAATCATCTTACATACTCGCTTACTTGTTCCTTTACCATCTGTCTCTGATTCTAAGCTTCAGGAGGTCAGGAACCTTGTTTGTCCCATTAACCACTGGTACACAGTAGGTGCTTGATAAATGCTGGTTGAATAAGTTCTGGATGCATAAACTCCCCACCCTGATTCTCACTCCTTTCTACCATTCTACCCTGCAGACCTGTAAATCTTCTTTGTATTTCTAAGACATCCTGTATTCCTTCAGACTTCTGTGCCTTTGCACATGTTTGCCTCTGCTAGGAGGGCCCTTTCTCTACAACTCTGCTTGGTAAGCTCCTACTTATCCTTTAAAACTCAGCTCAATTCCACCTTGTCTGTCTGTTCCCCTCTTGCCTTTCTCACAGCTTCCTCACTCCTCTACTGTGGACTTTGCTGTTTCTAGGCTAATCGGGCAGGAGGCTCTCAAGACCAAGGGGAAGGTCTGAATCTAGGGCAGGGGTTCCCAGAGCACTGCTTGACAATGAGGCCTTTTGATGTCTTTAGTGGGGGTTTTCTCATGTGGCTGGTGCCTCACCCCTGCAGGGTCCCCCCACCTCCTCTTTTGCCCTCTGTAGCAGCCAGAATGAGATTTAAAAAATGTAAATGTAATCAGCTCACTGCTTAAAACTATTCCAGAGAATCCTCATTACACTTAGAAAATTTCCAAACTCCTGCCTATGGCCCACAAGGCCTGACATCTGGGCCCTCCACTCTTTCCTTCTTGTGCACAATCCTCCTGCCTCAGGGCCTTTGCACTTGCTGTTCCCTCTGTCTGGTATATATTTCCCCCAAATAGTCACAAGACCAGCTCCTTCTCATCATGCACACCTCAGCCCACACATGGCCTCCCTGACCTCCCCAACCACCCGCCTTCCATCATCCTGCTTCATTTTCATCACACATTGTTACCCTCTGGAATTTCTGCATTGTCTGCTTCTCTTCACTACACCACAAGCTCCTCAGGGCTGAGCCTCATCTGTCTCATGCACTGCCGTATCCCCAGCACCCAGCCCAGTGCCTGGCACACAGCAGGTATCCAAAAGGCTTGTCACCTGACTGATCCTTTCTTGTCCCTGATGAGAACAGGCTTCGGTGTGCAATTGCTCAGGAAACCAAGTCAAGAGAAGGTAAATTCCGTGAAGGCAAGGATTCTTTTTTAATTTTACCCACTCAGCAGTGCTGGGTAAGCAGTAGGCTCAGTGTGTGTTTTTTGGGGAAAAGGGAAGGCGTTCTCATTTGGGTCTGGGCCAGTCAGGGATTTGGAGCCAAGGACCAAAGTCTCAGCCCTCCAGCCTCTTGAATGGGACACAGGTGCCCCCTTACCACGGGGGCAGGAACGGGCAGTGGGAATGGACCCACCGCTGGGCCACATCTCACCTGACAGCAGCATGGGGTCCTTGTCCACGGACTTGCGCACTTGGTCAGACTCCCCCGTCAGGGAGCTTTCATCGATCTTGAGGTCATTGCCCTGGATGAAGAGGCCGTCGGCAGGGAGGAGGTCACCTGATGGAAGGGCAAGGGACTCAGCAGGGTCTTGGGTAGCTGGAGAGGCTGGAACATTCCTCAACAGTGTGACTGCAAGGGAAGGCTCACCACTGGGGGCGGCTGCCTAGAGCTCCCAGGAACCAAGATAGTGCCCATCACAGGCCAACAGGCAGGTGAAGACTGGGGCCCAGGTGAATGGTGCAAGGCCAGAAGGGCTGAGCTTGACCCAACAACAATCCTGGCTTGAGTGGGAATGTACTTCATTCAATTTATAAAGTACTTCTCTTGGCCTGGTGTGGATTTGGGGCCCAGATTCCTCAATGATTCGTTCTTCTCTGGTCTCAACATGGTTTGAGGAAATTCTTTTATGATGGGCTAGCCTGTCTTGGCTAGGGTGAGGAGACCCGAAGACAGGTACATTATTAGAGGAGACCGAGCCCCTAGGGGTGAGCAAGGAAGGACCCTCCAATTTCTTCCCCATCTTCTGCCTCCTCTTACTAAAGACATATCTACACTAAACCCCCTATGGTGCCTGACATCTTTCTCCACGGCAGTATCATAGACCTAGAATGTCCACTTATCCATGTCCACTCCCTGTAACACCTTCTCTGGCCCCCAAAACCGTCTATCAACAGCCAAATCATAGATGGGAAATGGGTTTCATCTCCTAAACCCACTCTGGGGGTTAGTGGTCCTTGAAGTGTTTTGTTGAGAGGCCTTCTGAGGCTGTATCTAAGCTCTGACATGTGATTGATTAGTAATGTCTGGTATGGGTAGAAGTTCTGAGAGTGACGACACATTTGTCATATATTTGTCATTTCTGATTTAAATGGATTCTGAAATCCTACCTTCTCCAGGAAGTAGCCTTCCGCCTCCCAAAGGATCTCAGACTCAGGATCCTTGGGATCAGCCTTCAGGAACCCACTCCCTTCCCTGGGCCAGCCTTTCTGGGTCTGCCTGGCCTGCCCCACCTCTGCCCAGATTCCAGCTCTAACACCTGGTTCTGTGGCTGGGACACTTACCATATTTGACCTGGGCAATGTCCCCAACCACAATCTCGGCCACAGGGATCTGGACCACCTGGCCAGCCCGGACCACGGTAAACTTCTGCTCCTGTTCAATGCGGCTCTGCAGGCCCCGGAACTGTTTCTCTTTGCTCCAGTCATTGAAGGCTGTGACCAGGACCACGCAGATGACCGAGAGGAGGATGGCAGCTCCCTCGATCCAGCCTGCCTCCGCCTCTCCTTCATCCTCTGCCCCACCCTGGGCTGTCGCACATCCTGCAGAGAGCAGAAAGAAGCAGGTGGGATGGGGATGGGGTCAGCCAGGCAGGAGGGGTCTGATTTAAATCCCAGCTTGGCCAAGTGAAAAATGCTGATGATCAGATGACCACAATCCAATTTATTCAGTGTGTCTGGGTGCCTAGCCTTCTGTAAAGAGCTTCACAAGGATATCTGGGCACTCAGAGTACACGTTTCACAGGTGTAGAGACTGAGGCTCCTCAGAACAGGCCACATGACTTGTCCAAGCTAGGAAGGGCAAGTGGAAGCTAGGGTGTCTGCCTTCAGAGCCCACCAGTTAGTCACTTTGGTTTCCTGCCTTTGTTCTAGCTGTGAGTAAATGACTTCACCTCTTTGAACACTAGTTTTCTCATCTGTAAAATGGGATGAATATTCTTTATTTCTGGAACCTATTGTGAGGATTGAAATTCAGTGAAGAGGTCCATGGTGTCTCTAGTACAGACTTGGCACAGAGGAGAGGCCTGGTTCATGAGAAGAGAGAAAAAGCGATTTCTACCCTGGTAACAGAATGAAGACAATCAGTACTGCATGTGCTTTAGGGTTTAAAGTGCAGTTTTGCTGATGGCTTTTCCCTCCATTCTTCCAACAGTCATGAGGCAGGTCTCCAGGCAGCAGCTGGAGGGCAGGAACTGCAGCTCTGGACCTGCCCTCCAAGGAACTGGTCCTAATGCCGCCACTGCCCCTGCCTGATCGGGGCTGACTCACAGCCCTCCCTGAGCTGCAACATCCTCATCTGCCAATGGGGGTCACTGTGACCACCTTCCAGGCTCAAGGAAAGGAAGGTGAAAACTCTGGCCCGTGCTCAGCACACAGGATGCTCTTACTCAGCCTAGGACACCCCCACCCTGAGCTGTAGTCCCTTTCTCTGACCTCTTGTGACCCTGCATCTCACACCCCTGCACCATTGAACCTCCCAGTCTAGGTCCCCAAACTGCTTGAGGCCTGCCAGGACCATCATGTGACAGAAAAAGAAAAATACCAGATACATCAGATTCAAAGGCCATTACTGCCTATTGGTGCTGAGCCCTGGGGCCTTTCCACACCCCTCCACACATCCTATTTCTTACATCTGCACAGGACCCAGAGAATAGAGAATAGAGTTTTTACCCCCATTAACAGGTGAGGAAACAGGCTCAGAGAGGTGAGGTGGCATAGCCAAGGTGAGTACTATAGCCAGGACTAGCCCAGGCCCTTTTTTCCACTGGGAGGTGGTGAATGGCCCTCTCCGTGGGACGTGACCCTCAGCAGGATCTAACCATCCATCTCCGGAAACCTCAGAGATGTTCCCTTCTATGGAGGCTAGGCAGGGGACTGGGCCATTCATCCCATACGTGTGCCAAACATTCACTTTAATTCTCAAGCTGCCTGAGAGAAGGGAAACGGCTCAGAGAGGGGTGGCATCTCACCTGGGGTCACACGGAAGATCTGGAGTTTGAGTCCAGGCCTGGAGTCTGACACTGGAACTGGCCTGTCCACTGCCCCTGGGCCCAATGGACCCCCTCTGACATGTGCTGGCCTCATGTTGCCAAAGACCCATGGTCAACCATCTAGAAGTCCAAGTTGGTCCAAAGAAGAGAGAACAGCAGTTTCAAGAGATCTCAGCAGGAGTTTCTGGGAAGCCAGGGGTCAGAAGCAATATGATAAGAGGGCCAAGTGGTACCAGGGAATGTTTTCTGGTTCCTGGGAAGGTTGAGGTTCAGCTGGTGGGCTCAAACTTGGGATGGTATGGAACCCCAGCAGCATGTCACTGGAAAAATTCCACCTTTTACTGAACCAGCTGCTCCCTGCAGGCTAGTACACCGCATTGTCCCATGAGGTTCTCAATGTCTCTCATTTTTACCTTTGGGAATTTCAGATGTTTCTAATAATTTTAAACTGTCTAACTGGACAAGCCTTTGGTGGTCATGATAATCCTAACTGTGCTAATGATAACTGGCATTGGGTCAGCACTGAGTCTGAATCCTAGCTGTGTTACTTAATTGTTGTGTGCCCAGGAGCTAGCCACTTAACGACTGTGCCTCGGTTTTCTCATCCACAAAATGGGGGCAACGACAGGCACTCCCTCACAGGTGGCCGAGAGGACTGAGGCAGAGCCTTTATGTGAAGCACTCGCTCGCTGCAGGGAGCACAAGCACACTCAGGGAACGCCGCTGCTTCTTGTCCAGGGTGTGTTTGCACTTCTGCCTTTGAATTCCAAGCCTTCAGGGCAGCCTTGTGCCCCATGTTACAGAGGGAACCAGCTGGACTTCAACACCACATGACACGAGGAGGAGGGGAGCATGGGTGCCTCTCTACCTCCATGAATGACACAGTAGAGACCCCAAAGACTGGCAAATGCACATGAACCTTGCTACACAGATGCCCAGTATACAGAAATGCATGCTCTTGCTCCCCAGGGAAGTGACTCGAGGTACAGAGCCCTAGTGCTTTGCTTTATGGGACGCTGTCATCTCTGTCCTGCTACATGTTCTATATATGGAAGGCAGGGCTTTCCCTGTTGTGTGCTTCATCAGTGGGCTCCCTACCAGACTAGTTACTGGAACATTTAGGATTCTTAGAGACAGCCTAGGACAATAGAAAGCCTTTGAGCTCTGGAATTGAACCTGACTTCAAATCCAGGCTCTGCTGTGTGACCTTGGGTGAGTGACTTATCCTCTCTGAGCCTCAGTTCGGATAGATGTAATATGGGATGATTCCATGGACTTTGTGAGCTTAGGGCTTAGCGAGGACCTGGCATATAGTGGGTACATGATGAACTTGGGTCCTTTCTCTCTTTTCATGAACTACACTCCTTGGACTGGCTTCTGGAAGCCAAGGGCATGTGGCTGATTGGGATTTCTACCCTGGTCTCTTGACTCTCAGCCCTGCCTGGTGCCTTTGCTGATTCAACACCAATGATCCCTCTGGGCCTTTGAGAGTACTCAGCCAGCAAAAGCCCATTAGTTTTTACTTCCTTCTGAGAACTGTGTGATGGTCACATGGTGCCTTGGGGTGGCCAGAAAGTGGGAGCATGGACTGCTGGGCTAGGCCTCCAGCTAGTAGCCACTGAACCCTGGGCACAACTACTGCTGCCATTGGCGCAACTGGGGGAAGAGAAGAAGAAGAAGAAGGAAGAAGGGAGTGGGCAGGCCCTGCTGAATTCTCCTCTGCAGCCTCTCAGACTGGGGCAGGGACAAGTTCTAGAGATGGTCCACAGAGTCTGGGGAACCTATAGCTGCTCTTGCTGGACCTGGGTTTTTTAGGGTGAGGTCTCTCACTGTCAGTGTGACCTTGGGGAACCTGCTTGGCCTCTCTGGGCCTTCTCTACACGTACATAAGTAAAATGTGGAAGCTACTTCCTAGATGGTTACCAGGGCCTGGCATCAAATAAGGGCCCTCAAAACTGGAAGAGCTGCAAACATTTTCTAAGCACCTACTACGTGCCTGTCACTCTGCTGACACCTGGCATTAGGGCAGCTGTTATAGGCAGGGAGTTCGGAGCAGGGGGTGTGCCAATCACGGCCCTGCCACAAACATGCTGTGTGACCTCTGACAAGTGTCTGGAGGTATCTGAGCCAAGAAAGTAAACAGTGAAGGGCTGTGGGATCTGCAAGACACTCTATAGCCTGTTAGTCTATCACCAGCATCATTTTATATATGACTGATGAAGCCTGAGTGACCTGACGGAGGGTAGCCTGGCTACATGAGAGGTCCAGAGTTCAGAGCTCAAGGTGGGGCCTGGGTATTGGGGGAGCATAGCCACAAAGTGCAGGAACTTCACCGTGTGGGGCTGGAGTATATGCAGCTACCCTGGTTGACTCAGAGCAAGGCCTGAGTGAGTGTCTCAGATTGAGGCAGGGAGAGGTGGAGGAAAGAATCATAAGACTTAGGTTTAAAATCCAGCCCTATCACTATAAACTGTGTGACCTTAGACAAATCCTTTCCCTCTCTGGGCCTTGGTTTCCAGCTCTCTAAGATGGAAGTGATGGCAGCCATCTGTCTGGAGGGCTGTTTATGGGGAGGCCCCTCCTGGCACACACTAGGAGCTCGATCTGTGCTATCACTGCACCCCTCTCCCGCACCACTCCCATGTACCCTCTGAATGGTAAGTTTGCATAAAATTAGGTCACATAAGGCCACTTACCCAGGTGGCACTGACTCAACCCCACCCCTTTCTGAGGAAATGCAGCCAAGAGATAGGAGCAAGGGAGAGTTCAGAAGCCAAGAAGTCCTAGTCTGAGTCATGGTCATGCTGCTTCTTAGAGTGCGACCTCTCAAGTCATTTACTATCTCAAGGGCTTGTTTCCTGGGTGATGGCAGTGCCTCCCCACAGGGTTACTGTGAGGACCAAGAGAAGATCAAATGAACTACCACAGAAGCTTCCAGCCAGTGGTGGCTGTACAAATAGTAAGGATTATCACTATTATTTTGCTTCTGTGTCACACCCTTAGCTTTCTGCAAGGCTCACTGAAGCAGCCATGTACGATGTTCCACATGTTTTCTAAAACTTCTCTTGCATCTCTTATAATGTCAAGTGAGAATTCATCTCAGGACATGCTATCTTCCTAAAGAACTGGTTTTCCTCCTGGTTGATAAGTTGAGCTGTGCAACTCATCCTAATTCTGTTTCTGTCCTGGCGGCCAGGGAGCTCAAAGTCAAATTTAAATCTCAATCATGGTAGCAAATATAGTTGATTTATTTGCTTCCATTCCTTTCCTGTCTGGCCTTCTATTAGACCTCATCTTGTGAGATGTATCCCTCTTGCATCTTAACTCTCTTTGGAAGGAGCTCATGCAGAAAAAAATTAACTTTGTAATATTATATATAAAACTGAGGTAGTTGGCCAGTAGACTTGGTTATTCAGTTTCTCAGGCAACTCTGGCTTGGGAGGTGGTGGGGGACAGATGTTCAAGGAGTCTCAGAGACTACCTCCTTTGGGGAAAATGAGGTCTGTAATAGGTATTTCTTATATGCTTTCAGTTTTTATTTGCTTGCCTGAAAAATTGAACATAGTAGGTTCATGTATTGAGGTAACACATTCATTGGGAAATGTCTAATCATAATTAATAAAATGAAGAATAAGATTTTTAAAATCTAACAACAGAACAACATATCTCTTGTGGTGTTATATATCCCACAGTATGTGTGTGTATGTCTATCTGCCCACCCCCCGATCCATCTAGCTATACACCATGCGATAAGGGTTTAGAAAACTTTGCTCTCATAAAGGAAAGCAGTCATGGAGTGGGTGAAGCCCTTGCCCTTGGCAGGCACTTAGTTTCTGGAATGAAAGGATGAGGGGGGGTCAAGATTTTCCATCAGGAGTCCTAAGTCCTGACTTTCAGAACAGTGGGTTTGCTCCAGAACCTTCCCTGGGTGTGTGGGACAGTGCTCTCAGCCCATGGACAGTGCCCCCATTCAGAACCTGGGGACAAATTTTGGGGTGCCTTCTCAAGATAGATACCTCCCGTGGGAAAACACTGAGCATCACCCCCACAAATGTGTACATTACACTGAACCAACCCTGGGACAGGGATGTGAAAGGGGAGGAGGGTCACAGGGACTGACAGCCCCTCTCACAGAGAGCCCCTAGGATGAAGTCCAAGAGGAAGGTGCAGAGAAGGAAGCCTGGGGCAGCCATGTCCATGGTGGCAGTAGGCCCTGCACCCACGCAGTGACCTCGGGCAAGTGAATGCTCTTCTCTGCACCTTGGCTTCCTTATCTCTAAAATGGGCACAACCATGACCCCTACCTCATGGGGTTGGCAGGAGGACAGCTCAGCCCAGAACACAGTGTACTGTAAGAGCTCAATAAATGCTCACTCTAATTATTTCTACTGTTGGTCCAACCCGTGCATTTCATACATGGAAAGACTGGGGGTAGGCGGTTTGGGGCGTGGCTCATCTGCCCTTGGCCTTGGCTTCTTCACCTGCAGGGAGTCCTGGCTGTGAGCCCCGCCTGTTGCCAGGTGGGGAGTGGGGCTTAGCAGCCCCCTCTTACCTTCATTACTCTCCCCAGGTGGGTGGTAGAAGGAGAGCCCCAGGGAGATGATGGCCGCGATTTCCAGGATGATCAGCGTCACGTCTTGCAGCGCTTCCCACACCAGCTGCAGGAAGGTTTTTGGCTTCTTTGGAGGTATAAAGTTTTGCCCGAAAATCTGCTTTCTCTTTTCCAGGTCTGGCGCCGTGCCCGGCAAACCTGTGGACAGGGTGCAGAAGGGTTGGACTGGGGGGCCTGGGAGAGACACACGCATTCCAGGAAATACTTCTGAGTGGGGCCAGCGCCATGGCGGAGGGCCAAGAGGGGCAAAAACCAAGGAGGAAACTCACAGGCCCAGCCAGAAGCCCAGGGTCCAATGCCGAGTGGGCTCCTGTGAGATGCCAGAGATGCCGTGTGTGGGGTGAAAGTGGCCCTCCAAAGTGATATGTCCATATCCTAATTCTCAGAACCTGTGAATGTGACCTTTTCGGGGAGATGGTCTTTGCAGATGTACTTAAGTTAAGGATCTTGAGGTGAGTCACTCTGGATTATTCTGATGGGTCATAAACCAAGGACAAGCATCCGTAAGAGAGACAGAAAGAGAGCAGGCCAGACACAGAAGGAAGAAGGCCATGTGGAGTCAGAGGCAGAGACCAGAGTGATGCAGTGGAAGCCAAGGGACAGCTATAGCCACAAGGACACTGGAAGAGGCAAGAAAGGTAGTGTCCCCAGAGCCTTTAAAGGGAGCATGGCCCTGCTGACGCTGGACTTTCGGCTTATGGCCCCCAGAACTGTGAGAAAAAAGATTTCTCTTGTGTGGCCTCCCATTACGGCAGCCCCAGGAGGTGAATACACACCAGTGCTCCCACACACTTGCTCAAGCTTTGCATGTCTGCTCGCCCTCCATGTTGAGCCCAGACTTCTGCCTGGGGACCTCTGCCTGGGGTTGAATCCCAGCCTGTACCCCTTGCTCTCTGAGCCTCAGTGTCTCCTCTGCAATGGGGATGGCAATTGTACTTAAACCAGGGGTGCTGTGAGCATCTTGGGTTGTCAGCACGTGTTTGCTGAGCACCCACTGGTGCCGGGCACTGCTTCAGACACATGGATGGAGCAGAGAACAAGGTGGACAGAGCACCCTCCCTAAGGAGATGACCTCCCAGCAGACTATGCCCTGTGCTGACAGGGTGCCAGCTCGGTGGCAGACACTCAATCCATGCCGGCAGTTACAGCCTGTCTTAGGGACCAGGGCAGTGAGTGCGGTCCTCATGTGGGCCCACTGCCAACTCACCGTTTCTTTACCTCCAGAAATTCTTCCAGACTCTCCAATATGACCCTCATTCTCCTTCAGAGGCTCCTCATTACTTTCAGAATAAAGTCCATGTTTCTCAGCCTGGACCTCTAGCCTCTTGATCTGACTCCCAAGCTACATTTGTTTGCAGCCACATTTTCACTATTTGGTTCCACCCCTGCCAAACCAGGCCAGTCTTTTCCCAGCATGCCCTGTGTGTTCCTCCCACCACACATTTGCTCAGGGTGCCCTTCCACTTCCCTCTTCTCAGGTCTGTTCCCCTGTCTGTAAGTCCCCTCCCAATCTAATTTGCACCAAGGTGTGGATGACCTGAAAGAGAAACCTCCCAGGTAGAATTCCCCCAGGGCAGAACTCTCTGTCAGGTGTGTGATCAAGGCCGGCCTCATTACGTACCAGCCCCTTTGGAGGCCAGAGCTTCCCCTCCCTTCTTTGCCTTCTTCAGTGAGGTAGACCCCATGCCACCCCAAGTCACTGGTTTGTCATTGGGTTTTTCTGTAACAAGCACCCTGGCACACTTCCTGCCTTGCTCCTGTTGTTTGATAGGCAAGGAAGAACCTTTCCCCCCATTCACACTGGTGAGCCCATTCTCTGGGTGCCTCTGTGAGGAGCCTTCCCCTCCACCCCACGCAGACAGCAACTCCTTGCCCTTACGTTGAGACAGCCTTCACCACACAGGGCTTCTTTGCTTGCTGGACCTGCAACCCATCTGGGCCTTGGTACCTTGAGGACAAAAACTGGTCTCATTCTTGTCCCTCAGGGCCAGGCACTGAGGCCACCAATCATCTCAGATCCTCCCACCCACTGAACACAGGCGACCTGTCCAGGTGTTGTGAGCATGGCCTAGAGCTGGTGGCCTGGGGTGTCATCATGCGGAACTCAGCACAAATGGGCCCTTGCAGGTGAGCATGTCAGTTCTGTTCCTGAGGTCAGCCCAACTCTGGCTCACCTGGGGCTTAAAGAGGTACAGCTGGGGTGGGCATAGAGGGGAGGGAGTGGGGGACATCCCTCCTTGGACCTCTGGCCTTTGTTCACTCCTGAGAATGGGGAATCTGGGGGATCCCCAGAACAGCACCACTAGCATGTGGGGGCTGGAGCACTGGAACATTATGCTGTTAGTTTTGGGGGTCTAGTGGTCTAATTACATATGGTTCTAGGATTCTAAGTCTGTTGTTCACTGGCTCATTCATTTACTCTTTCAAACAGCCCATGTTCCTCGGGCCTCCATTGTGATCCCAGCCTCAGTTTCACCATCTTGATAATAGAGGAGTTTGATGGGATGGGTGGTCCCTGAGGATCCCAGAGGTTTGAAGGTCTGCAGGCCCTGAAGTGGTCCTGGTGGGGTCTGTTCACCTTTTTGGGCACCTCCTAAGGTTTGCTGTAAATAAAGGGTTTCACTAAGAGGAAGCTTAGCAAAGGTAGGGCTAGCCCATTTCCTGGGCTCCTCCTGACTGATTCAGAGAAAGGTGAGTCTCTGAATCTTCTGAAGGCCTATGATTCAAATGTTCTGGAGTCCATGGTGTGACCAGATGAAAATGTGGGTGTTCTCGAGTTCTGGGATCTGGCCATGGCTCAGGAGTTCTGTCATCTGGGGATTCACAGGCCTGGCATTGGGGAGCCTGAGTCCTGAGGCAGAGCACATGGCAGAGGTTGCAAATTTGAATAGCTGCAGGGCTGTGCAGGTTTTGTGAATGAGTGAAGTAAGGGGTGGGGGGCAACAGGGAGTGGTGGGGGCTGGGGCAAAGTGAAGAATCTCAGCCCTTCTAAATGGGACAGCTATTTTTTAGCATTTGTGGGAGACCCCCCAGGATACTAGCAGATCTTCCAGTTCTTTAAGAGAAGCTGGGTACCTAGAATTTGATATAAGATCTCCCCATTAAAAACATTCCAGGGCCAAATACAATGTATCTGTGAGTTGGATTCAGCCTCCAGGTTGCTAGCTGGAGATCCCCAAGGCTATGGGTTGGGGTAAACTAAGCCAGAGGTTTAAAAGGGGGAGGGGGCAAGAGAACAGCTTCTTTGTCCTTTCTCCTCTTTCCTGAGCTGCTCTCTGCCCAGCACCAGGCCCTGCCCTGCTCCTCACAGGTTTATGAGGTCCCCTCTCTTTTTCAGAAATAACAGCTCACAAAATAAAAATATCTGTGCATTCTGCTAGGGCTTTTCCCATGGTAGAAACTGCTAGGCAGGTTCCACAACAGTCAACACAATAGTATATAAGCACAAGATGGGAACCTCTGGTGTGGAAGCTCAGACGGGGTGGCTGAAATGGCAGAAGGTGGCCACAACATCTCATCCTCTCTCTTCCTTTCAGGGTGGTGGGCTGAGCTGGAGCTGGGGATATCAATCCCCAAGAACTCAGATGTCATGGATTCAAATCCTAGCTCTGAATGACTCTGGGTAAGTGACTTTAACCTCTCAGTGCCTCAGTTTCCCCATTTGTAAAATGTGGGTAACAGCAAGGCCTACTTCACAGGATTGAAATGAGCTTCAGCAGGATATTTCGTGTAAGGCACAGACTGCTGTACCTGGCACCAGGTGAGGGTATCGTGTTATTATCGTCCAGTGCTGGGCAGCCGGGATGATCAGTCACTACCTCCTGGAGGAGGAAGACTTTGGACAGGTGGAATCAATGAGATGGGGAGGTGAGTAGTCAATGTGAGGATAGGCACAACAGGCCATGTAACTGTACACAAGCCACTTCTCTCTGGGTCTCAGTCTCCCCACATGTGACATGAAGGACTGTCCTGGCTGAAGGCTGGGGCTGGTGGCTCTGATACTTTGTATCCAAAGACAGTGGTTTTGAAGACCTACACTGGGACAACCCACCTGGTCCAATCCACCTATCACAACCTTCCCAGGAAATCTCCCTACCTTCTGGCTAAAAATGAACATGTCTGTTTTGGTGAGCAGAAACAACAGAGGCTGGTGTGAGAGACAAATGGTGTTAGAGAGGCAATTTAGATTAAAGAGCATCTCACCACTTAGCATATAAAAAATTAATATACTGTATCAAATATCACTGGACAAAGCCAGCAAGGCCCTGAAAATTGAGACACACAGAAATGCCTGGCAATTGATGTCAGATGCTGCATGGGGTTGTGGGTTTTCAAACATGAGTTTCTTTTTGTACGAGAGGCAAGGACAGGGTAAGGAGTCAGGCTTATGGATGAACTTGAGCCAGTTACTTCATTCCTTGGAGACTCAGTTTTCTTACCAATAAAATAGGAGCAAGTAACCCTCTTGGTGTTGAGCCACATGCGGAGGAATGTGTGTGAAAGTTCTCTGCAAAATGTAAAGGCACAGTAAGTGTCCCTTCACTAGCACTTGTTCAAATTCTTCTATTAGAATAGAATGTATGTGTTCCAGTAATTACGTAAAAGGAGGAAGCCAAAGGCACCAGGGGGGACTTTGGGTATGTAGGACTTATTTGTTGCAATGGCTGTTTGCTGTCATTGGTATTTGAGGAATCTCTGCCCCACAGTTCATCTCTATCCAGCTGTCCTAGACACAATCTGGGTTTCCCCCGGCCCCTAAGTCTTTGCCCCTCCAGTCCCCATTCCTCTGCTTGAAATGCTTTCCTTGACCCAGCCTTGAGTGTTACAAATGGCAGCCTCAGGCTATCAGAGGCATCTTGTTTGGTTTGCACAGTGTTTATAAAAATGGAAATTTGTTGCAAACATTAAAAACTCAGGTACTTCCTCAAATTCCTAATTCTGGCTCAGCCGGGGCATGTGCACAGACCTCAGGAATTGGAACCTGTGACTGAGAGCTCTCTGATCCAAACACTGGCCCCACCTTGGCACTGGGAACATGTTTCCTGTTAAGGAAAGCTCAGGGGATAGTGAGCACCAGCTTAAGTCATTTGGTGGCAGAAAGAGCCTTGACTTTATCTGGCCCCAGAGCACAGAGCTGG